TTTTAAACCAAACACTCTTATCAATAAATAGAGTGGATCCTGAATCACTTTATCCAATGATTTATAACCAATCAAAACGATCAAGCAGGAAATAGTCAAGAGTTAAATTGGGCTGTAAAAGCACTTGTAACTGTATCTGAGTTAATAGGATTGGATGATAAATAGAGGTCCTGTATGCTAAAAGTTAAATAACATTCCAACCGACCTGGCAATATAGACATTATAGAATCGTGCCTAATGTTCTGTTACTTCATTAAAATTCCGCAATATCTTGGTAAAAGTAATTTATTTCAAGTTGTTTTAAGTATTAAACTCCAAACTGATTATAAGATTTTCAAATGAAGTCGTTTCTCATGATGAAAAGAAGAAAATGAGGCCTACCTGAATAATTAGTTATCTCTGCTCATAGATTTAAAACCAATATTGGGAATTTGACCTCTTTTCTATAATATTGTCCTGACGAGTCCCGTGTATCCAAAACTCATGTCAGCAACATAAATAAGCTCTAGTCAATTAGCAAACAATAAGTAAACACGTACATTTACTACTGTCCTGACTAGGATCGTATGTCTAAAACTCTTGTTTGTCTCATAAATGAGTTCCGGTCATTTGAATCACTAAGTTTAAAACTATGAAGGAATTTTACCATCATAAACCTTGAGGCTATCTGAGATATGTCGGTATAAACTTCACTGTATCTTCAGGTTTATATCTCATATAATAACAACATAGTTATAGTTATATCTTAATTAGTGTTTAATAATTACTTGTTTATTACTTGTTTCTACGTTTTACCATCTGATATTCATAACAAAATGTTTCGACAATTTACATATCTTATCAAATAGTATTCCACATTCTTATCATTTTTACCATCACCTAATATAACACAATGTTTCGACAATTTACAATCCATTCAAGTCCTGAAGACTAAAATTTGAAAATTTATCATCGTATGAACTACGAATTATTCCACGTTCTATATCACTGAGTTGTTTGATATTTTACGAATCAATCATCATACAATACTATCTAAAAAAATATTTCATTTATACAACGTTTCGGTAGTTTACACTCCGTTCATTTCATTCATTTTCACTCCGCTCTGCACTTTATATCGTTTTTAAAATTAAATTTAATTTTCCCTACAACGTTTCGATGGTTTACACTTTGCTTCTCACTTCATGCAGTTATTAATACTAATATTTTCTGTATAATAACTAAATAATATCCAAACTAAAATATATTTCCACCTCTGACGCTGTATTTTTGATATTTTTCCTCGTAATAATCATAAAACCAGATTTTAGTCATCTTCACAATGTCAAGCTATTACAATCTTCATCTTATACCTTGACTACAATAGCCACCTTTTTGTATCAAATCTTCACAATGTCAAGCTGTTACGAACTTTTTCTTATACCTTTAATGAAATAACCAATCAGAGCCTTCGACAGAAAGGCTGTAAACATTATGGCTTTGTGTTCACCGACTTTCTGTCGAGGCCTCTGATTGGCTGTATTCGCTGGCGTACAATCTCAACAAACTTTTGTGATACAAAAATATGACTATTGCAGTCAAGGTATAAGATGAAGTTTGTAATAGCTTGACATTGTGAAGATGTGATACAAGAAAGGTGACTATTGCAGTCAAGGTATAAGATGAAGTTTGTAATAGCTTGACATTGTGAAGATACAAGAAAGGTGACTATTGCAGTCAAGGTGTAAGATGAAGTTCGTAATAACTTGACATTGTGAAGATGGTTTTAGAAAATATAACTTGGTATTTTTCTACCAATATGATGTATTTTTGTTATAATCTTGTTTTTTGGCGTTTATAAATATATTTTAGTTATAGTTTTGTTAATAAAGACTTAAGAATTTGGTCTATTTCTGCAAATTAGATTAACTAAGTTTTCTTTAAGGAATAATTCAGTCTAAATTATTTTCGTATAAACAATATTCATTTCATAACATTTCATTAGGGATCTGGCTAATTACTAATTAATCTGGTACCTAATTAACAAAACATCATCTCATTCTGTCCACCTGTTAGATATTATTATATTATTTTTCACGTGCTTATATGTAATTTATAGTCATAAAATTATAGTTATAAAACCATCGCAAAGTAGCAGTATGTACTGTCTGTTTCGACCTGTCTGTTTTGACCTGTCTGTTTTGACCTGTCTGTTTTTACCTGTCTGTTTTTACCTGTCTGTTTTTACCTGTCTGTTTTGACCTGTATGTTTGTACTCGACTAATTTACCTGTCTGTTTGTACTCGACTAATTTACCTGTCTGTTTTTACTAGACTAATTTACCTGTCTGTTTTTACTAGACTAATTTACCTGTCTGTTTGTAATCGACTAATTTACCTGTCTGTTTGTACTCGACTAATTTACCTGTCTGTTTTTACTAGACTAATTTACCTGTCTGTTTTTACTAGACTAATTTACCTGTCTGTTTTTACTAGACTAATTTACCTGTCTGTTTGTAATCGACTAATTTACCTGTCTGTTTGTACTCGACTAATTTACCTGTCTGTTTTTACTAGACTAATTTACCTGTCTGTTTTTACTAGACTAATTTACCTGTCTGTTTTTACTAGACTAATTTACCTGTCTGTTTGTACTCGACTAATTTACCTGTCTGTTTGTACTCGACTAATTTACCTGTCTGTTTGTACTCGACTAATCTACCTGTCTGTTTTTACTCGACTAATCTACCTGTCTGTTTGTACTCGACTAATTTACCTGTCTGTTTGTACTCGACTAATTTACCTGTCTGTTTGTACTCGACTAATCTACCTGTCTGTTTGTACTCGACTAATTTACCTGTCTGTGTGTACTCGACTAATCTACCTGTCTGTTTGTACTCGACTAATCTACCTGTCTGTTTGTACTCGACTAATTTACCTGTCTGTTTGTACTCGACTAATCTATCTGTCTGTTTGTACTCGACTAATCTACCTGTCTGTTTGTACTCGACTAATCTATATGTCTGTTTGTACTCGACTAATCTACCTGTCTGTACTCGACTAATCTACCTGTCTGTTTGTACTCGACTAATTTACCTGTTTGTTTGTACTCGACTAATCTACCTGTCTGTTTTTACTCGAATAACTAATCTACCTGTCTGTTTTTGCCCGTCTCTGATGATTAACTCAGGTATTTAGTTAATAACTGACCTACTTTTACACCAGATTTTAAAAACTTTCTAAATACCAATTTGGCACCAAAACACTATTCCATATTTCTTGATGAATATCATTTCATGTGATTCATTAGTATGAATTAACAAAATACCTTAATTACACGAATTCCATCTGTTAATTAACATTTAAATCAACTAGGTAACAGATCTCAGAGATTTCTGGAGGCTGAAATTTTTCAAGAGGAGAGGATCTGAACTACTTGACTTGATAATTCAATCAAAACAAACATTTCTGTATTTATTCATTGAGATCATAATAAATTGTTGTATGAATAACGAAATTGAGGAAATTAAAAAATTTACATAATTTAAGACTTTTCTTAGTTGAGTAATATTGACGTCTTCGTTCTGTGAGGAAAAAATTAATAATATTTTGATAATGAAATAGTCCTACCTTTCAAAATGGATCAAAATCACCCTTTTTTCAATTATTCTAGAATTTCTATTCAAATTTCATCTTGTGACTCTCAGTTCTGCCAGCAGAATAAAGCGAGTTCTCACAACCAACCTCATCACCAACAAAACACTTAAATTTCTTATTTTGTTTTCAAATGAAAGTTTATGTCAGCTTAAGTTAATTAGAGGCAGGTGTAAGATAAATGTACTAATTAACGCCCTAGAAACATCAACAAATTTTCTGCTAGCGACTTGAATTTATTTTAAGGAGTATATTAAATGATTTATTCGGTAATTTTCTGACCTTTCAAAGTGAAAATTAAATTGTTTTAGCATTAAACTAGGGAAACTCAATGATAAAACAAACACAATATTACTCTAGAAATAATCTTCTTATCTCTGGGGTCAATTCTTCCGTCTCCTCCCCTCGTGTTATTGTTGGGGTGAATAAGAGAGTAGTACAAGTTTTACTGCTACCCTAAAGGTTCAGGGCCCCATTCCGATATACTTTCAGATTGTTTCAATATAACATCCGTGAAGTATGGCGTCGTCCATCTCTCAGCCCAAGACCAAATATGTGGGTGACTGACTGCAGTCACATCAACTTAATAACGTGGTTTCTCCATGATTCATAAACCATCTTCCCATACCATCTTCCCATCTTTAATTTATCTAATCATTGATTTCATAAGGTGAAGGTGTGAATGTCGCTTATAAATCATGAAACTTTGTGTCATTGAAGCATCAATTAATTGAATTATTACCGAGATATTATAGTATAGTGTTTGATTCTATTACGATGAAAAAGAGAGTATCAATTCTCAACCCACCAAGAACAATTCTAGATATTAGTTTAATTTCTAACTCTACATTGGATATAAAAATGATCTGGACAACACGGTGGTTAACAACATAGACACCAATACCTGTAAATAAATTAAAATAATTTGTGACTGTGTGACTGTGTGACTGGGGGTGTTTTTTGTAATAGGAGTGGAGGCGTGGGGGAGCTCATTGTTGAAAAATACTTTTAATTAGAAGTCCATAGATATATCTTTATTCCTAAATTCCTTGCCGCAAGCTAACCCTATACCTTGAGGTATATGAGGCACTTTTCCAGTATATCGGATGTTTGTAAATTCAGCGTTTTGATTGGATGTAAGCTAGCGAATATAGTCAATCAAAGTCGTCGATTACATGTAGAGCCATATCGTTTACAGTCTTTCTATCAAGTGGTCTGATTGACATACAATACAATATCGAGTGGTCTGATTGACGTACAATACAAATATCGAGTGGTCTGATTGACTGTATTCACTGACGTACAATACAAATATCGAGTGGTCTGATTGACTGTATTCACTGACGTACAATACAAATATCGAGTGGTCTAATTGGCTGTATTCACTGACGTACAATACAAATATCGAGTGGTCTGATTGACTGAATTCACTGACGTACAATACAAGTATCGAGTGGTCTGATTGACTGTATTCACTGACGTACAATACAAATATCGAGTGGTCTGATTGACTGTATTCACTGACGTACAATACAAATATCGAGTGGTCTAATTGGCTGTATTTACTGACGTACAATACAAATATCGAGTGGTCTAATTGGCTGTATTCGCTGACGTACAATACAAATATCGAGTGGTCTAATTGACTGTATTCACTGACGTACAATACAAATATCGAGTGGTCTAATTGGCTGTATTTACTGACGTACAATACAAATATCGAGTGGTCTAATTGGCTGTATTTACTGACGTACAATACAAATATCGAGTGGTCTAATTGGCTGTATTTACTGACGTACAATACAAATATCGAGTGGTCTGATTGGCTGTATTCACTGACGTACAATACAAATATCGAGTGGTCTAATTGGCTGTATTTACTGACGTACAATACAAATATCGAGTGGTCTAATTGACTGTATTCACTGACGTACAATACAAATATCGAGTGGTCTAATT